AGATGGATTTCGTCCCCCCCACCCCACTAGGAGAGCTTTTTGGGCAGCCCCCCCCCCAAGCAGGTCAGTGGGATGCCTTGGAGACAGGAACTGGGAAGCATGCAAACGCTGTACAAGAGTAAAAGAGTAAAGAAGGAGGAAGAGTCAAATCATGGGACTGGCTGTCAAGGTGGACTTAAACCGCACTGGAGACTCAACTCAGGGGTTTTGTTTCAATGATTTAAACTTGACTCGTGACTGGGAACCCTAACCCACGCCTCCCTTTTTCCTGGAAAAAAAAGGTTATTTTTAATAGGGACTTGAACTCGGGACTTGGGACCAAAGACTCGAACACAGGACTTGGGACTTGAACCCACCCTCTTCTGCAATAAGTATGGCCACGTGTGGCCTTTCCTTTCTTCTGTGGGCTGTCAAAGGCTTTGTTCGGCTTGAAGGCAGCCCCTTTTGGAGCCGAGGGCCACGTTTGGCTCCCATCGGCCACGCTGGGTGGTGCAGACAGGCAGGCAGCTGCTCATCTACCCCTTGCCTCGCACGAGGACAGGCGTCGGTGGAAGCCAACCTCGCTCTACGCAAAATGGCATGCGGCTCTTGATGCCAAACGAGAAACGACTCCTCCGGGCTTTAAAGGAAATTAGGACACGGCTCAGCCGTGACCGGATGGCTTGTGTTGTTGCACCCAAGTTTGCCACCCAGCAGCTGCTCACAGTGGACAGGTCCCTTTCGAGCTCCCATTTTCGGGGGCCTTTTGTTTCAAACCCTACTTGAATTTAAATGCCCCCTTTCCAAAGACACCACCTTCAAATAGAGGACTGCTCTTGACAAAGGAGGGCATGTAGCCACTGCAGGATCGGGAGGGCTCCCTTTAGCCCTTCCCTCCTCCTGTGCAGGGAGCCGAGTGGCCTGCTTTTACAGAGAGTGGTCCTCTCTCTAAATGGCCATCCAGCCTGGTCTAAAAATTGACACCTAAGAAGAGCAGAGACCCCTTTATGGCGAGGAGAGGACCTGGGAAGTCAAGAATGTGCAAGAGAAATAATGCATGTAACTCGAACCAGGGAGCAACAATAGAGATCGAGAATCAGGTGGACCTAAGTTTCTTATTTCTATCCCACCTTTTCTTCTTAAAACAAAGGTAGATTGATATTCTAAGGTTTTATTTCCTCCTCGTGACTGGGAACCAAAGTCAGTGTATTAATTGTTTTTCTTATTGAGAGAGAGAAACATCCACAAAGTCTTCCCCATATTGCCTACTGGAAAAGCATGGAAGCTAGAAACAGGGGTTCCTTAACTGTGCTTAGGGTTCTCTCCTCCAGCGCTATCACTAAAAGGAATTCCAGAAGCAATACCTGTTCGTCTTGCTCTTTCTCAGCTTCCGCACTTGCCGTTCCTGTTTAAACAGCTGTAGGTGCAAGTACCGCCCCTCGTGCAACAAAAAGCCAAATATTCTTACACAATTCTGGAAACCAAATGTAAATGAAATGCCTGGATCCTTGGAATCGAGAAGCAAGGGTGAAGATTAACATTGTGAAACACAGAAGTTATGTTCACAGGGTGCTAGCGCCATCTGGTGGCTACAAAGCAGGCCGTACTTATTCCACACAACTGGAATTTCAAAAAAAGCGTTCAAACTTTCGAGCTCTCCAGAACAACCATGTCTCCGTGAGATAGTAAAAAGTCTTTATTATTATCATAGTAATTATTAATATTATTATTATTATCAAGAAGGCTTTGAAGTTTCAAGAAAAAAAAATAAAACTCTGGATATAATTTTCATAACTGTCAAGTCAAGATCAGCAAATATATAGATATATCTACACTCATATATATATATATATAAATCAGAATGCTCGCCATGATAAGGTTAAAGGTCTGGCGTGACCCCAGTCCAACTCCCGCCCCTCCCCCCTCCCCCTGCTTTAAAAAATAAAATATATATTTTAGTCCTTAAAATTTATTCAATAAAGTAATTATTCTCTTAGAAATTCCTTACATATACACAGAGGTAAAAAATAAAACTTAAAAAAAAATTCAGAGAACGACGATAACAACAACAAAAGAGATGTTGATGATGATGATTTTTTGCCTGTGCGTATGGGGGGGGCTGAAAATGGGTTTTCCCTCCAAATTCCTCCCATAAGCAACGCTGCTCTCCGCCAGACTTTCCCTGGGTCGACAACCCAACAGAGAAGAGCCACACGCAATGCCCACATTGATTTCATGCCAAATATCTGTTCTGTGTTTCCTTCTAGCTAGGAAGGAGCGCCTGGAGGTGAGACATGCTCTTAGGGCAAGTTCCAGGGTCCTCTCCATTTTGCAAAGTCTTGGCTACCCTACCTTAGTTACAGCTCTGATCCCCTGCTTTCCACATAGATTTGGGAAAGCGGCAGAATACAAGATTATAACATGCTTCAATATCTTTCTCACTCATTTTCACTCTCTCTCTCTCACTCACTCACACACATCCCCATTCATATAACTGCATATAGAAACATCAAAAAAAGAAATTCATGAAAAAAAAAGTTCCTGCCCTAGTGCTTGCTGGGAGATTCCTTCTGGAACAGGAAGTCTGGGCTGAGCTAAGCCTAGTTCGGCCGGAAAGCTAGGACTTTCTCCCAGGCGAGCCGCATTTATGTGTCAGTAAGATAGGCAAATCACCCAGAAGAGAGAGAAATTCATGAATTAATTTTTTCAGCTCGAAAGAAAACAAGTCACCCTACTGAGTCCCTTTAAAAGTGCACAGGGATCTCAGATGCGTTGTTTTGTTGATTTGTTTCCTTTTTTTTTTTTTTTTTTTTGCTCAAGTTGATTTAATCTTTGCAAAATTAAAAAAAACCCAAACCCACAAAGAAATACTGATGGTTTGGAAATATCGGTTGGATGAACAGTAAACGTTTCACTCAACCTGGCTTGCACGCCTAGGCTGAAAGAGTTAAAGCTATTCTGTAAACAATATTTTGATTTATTTTAGGCTCTCCTCTAGGGATGGGGGGTATCCTGTTTTTCTGGACTATGAACACCCTAATTCTGGGCACTCTGCCTACACTACAGACACTTAAGTGTGGAGAAAGGCCTACATTTGCAACTTTTGGGGCTCAGCTAGGCCTAGCTGTGCCCAAACTTCCTGTTCAGAAAGAAATCTCCCAGCTAGCACTAGGGCAGGAACAGGATGCTTGGGCAGAGCTAGGCCTCAAAGCCTTCTGCTTTAGGCCGTTCTCCCAGGTGAGCCACATTTAGGTGCCTGGAAATTAGACAGAACTCCAAGATGGAAGAATTTTGGATCTGTAGTCCAGAAAATCTGAAAATCCCACCCCTCTTTCCCCCTGCCAAAAAAAAACCCCACTTAAAAATCTACACCTGTTTCTGTCTCCACATCCCCTACATGCACACACCACACAATCCTTCCCCTCATTTCTTATTTCATTTCTCTGCAACCATCTTTATCTCTCTCCTTTTATGCCACAAGCCGTAAAGAATACATCGTGTCCCCCTCCCCCACCCTCTGCCATGCTAGTTCTTTAATTTTCTTTACATTTCTCAGAAGCAGGGGGTGGGTGGAAAAAACTATTGATATAAACAGTTAAAAGTTTTTGGGGAAAAGCTTTGTTTCGGGAAGTGAGGAAGTCGGGATTTAGGGCAAGGTCTTCTGCTGTCCCAACTGCTACGAGAAAATGTGGATGGCTTGTGTTGCCGGGGTGTGGCAGGCAGGGCACTCCGGGTCGGGGCGTCCGCAGATGCGCATGGCGCATTCCATGCAGAAGAGGTTGTGGCCACAGGGGACCAAGGCAGCGATCACCTCGCTTTCGAAGCACACCATGCACTCGCGCGAGTTTTTGCAGGCCCCATCAGAACTGCTCGAATCCGTCGGGGAGCCCGAAGCACCTGAGATGCTGCTCGGTAAGGAGGAGGATGAAGAGTAGCCAGTGCTGTTGGAGAATGAAGACAAAGAGCCTTGGGATGGCAGCCACGGCAGGGCGCTGACGGGGTCGCTCTGGATCCGGCGGACCAACGGGTGTTCTAATGCCGCGGTGCTCTCAGGGAGGGTCGGTGAATGGCTTGGTGTGGTGGTGCCGCTGAAGCTGCTGTGGCGCCGTTGGGAGGTGCCGTTGATGGAGGAGGAGGAACTGCTGCCGAAGGCCTGGAGCGGATTAGTGGGGGATTCGAACGGAGACCAGATATTGGCTGGCGTGGTGAGATCTAAGGCCAGGAAGTCGAACCCGAAATCGCAATCCTCGGAGCCCAGCAGAGACGTCGGGGGCTCACTGAATGGGAAGCTGCTATTGGAATCGAAGGGGCTGCGGGGAGCTCCCTCGAAGTAAAGTTCGGTGGCCGACACAGAGGTGCCCAAAGAGCTGAGGTTATCGTTGCGCTGGCTGGGGAGTGTCCGCTGGGTAGGATTCGGCGCTTTGGACCAGAGACCCGAGGGGCCTCCCCCCAGTAAATCCAGGCAGACATCGGTGCCGTTGGAATGGAAATCGTTCTCGGTGTTGACATCAATGAAGGCGCCCGTCCTCATGGTGATGTGAGCTTCGATTTCCTCTCTGGCCCGATCGACGTTCTCCGGCATGCCGGTCACCTCGAAGACCGGCTCTTTATCTCGGCTCGGAGTGACGATATAAGTGTGGGTCTGCTGCTGGATGCGCTTGATCGTGGCCCCTTTCGGTCCCACCACGAGCCCGACCACCCGGTAAGGGACACGGACCTGGATGGTGGTCTGCCCTAGCAGGTTCGGAGGGCCCAAGACCGAGCCCGTCACCCCATTGACTCTGTTGCGCGTGGCCCGGATCATAGAGAAGTGTTCCGCCGCCGAGAGGATCTCCCGCTTCGCCATCTCCACATCCTCTTTGCGTCCTGTCACAATGAAAACGGGCTCCTCGCCTCTCACCGGCGTCTTGATGTAGGTGTTGGTTTTTGCCCGCAGAGCTTTGATCTTGCACCCTGAAAACACAGGAAGAACAGGAGGAGAATGGGCATTAAGGTTTAGCCGGTTGGGCTGTATGTTTATCGAACGAGACGGACGATTTTTCGGTGGCCAACCAGCTATCTCCATGAGCATCAATAAACTGAACCCCTTTGTCTTGATCATTTGCAGGAACATATAAGGTTCTATCTGTCGTCAGGTCATCTCCGACTCTCTTCGTATAAGGTTCTAAGACCCGCTGCCCTTCCATGGGCTAAGTCCACACAATCCACAGGTCAGAGGTGTCTCCACCTCGGTCTTACAGGGTGGTCTGCCTGTCCACCAAGAAGGTATCCAGCCAGTTAAAGGCAAGGGTGATGCCCCTCCTTTTAGGGATAAATTCAGAATTCGGGGGTAGGTTTTGGATCAAGCAGGGAAGAGAACATCCTCTGCTAGCTGTGATCAGCGCCACAGTGGTAGACCATCTTTAATGTTGAAAGGAAGGGTTTACACCACACAGTGAAAGCAGTTTGGTACTTGACCTGCCACGGCCGTGTCTTGGGGGAACTAATATTTGTAATTTGCAGAAAGAGCTTGAATTCTGTGCTCTTGGCTCACCTCCAGCAGAGAAGCCTAAGGACTCCCCCACAAAATTACGTCCGGTCTCAGGCCATGGCAGCTGAAGCTGGTATCAAACTGGGGCGACGATATAGTGAATTGGACAGAAATTCACAGAAATTTTGCACCCATATCCTGGGGCTGTTGGTGGCAATGAACGGAGAAACTGAGTTTTCTTTTAAACAATAAGGATGTTCTGATTTTTGGCTTTCAAAAGGGAATCAAGGCCTTACGGTGCATTTCAAAAAGTACCCTGGACAGGCACCATAAAAATATCCCTGCCACCAACTGCTGCTGTTTGAAAGACATTCGCCGACAGCTTCTCCAGCTCATTTTTTCCCCAAGATCACCTCGTTTTTAATAATAATAATAATAATTTATTGTCATTGTAAGTATATACACATACAACAAAATTCACAGACACCCAGAGACCAGACACATGCAAGAGGGATTTCAAGACGGATTTCATTTTCCGCAGAACATTCCGGTGTCAAGTCCTCAAAGGAGCAAGGTAAGAAGAGGCTGCTTCTGAGCTAGTGCAGAGTGCACATCGCCTGGGCCCACAAAGGGCTTGCCGGGCTGGAGCACAGAGCTGGCCAAGTGGAACTGTGGGGTGTTGTTGTTTTTTTCCCTCCCCCTATCTGGAGACAAAGCCTTGA